TGGGACTACAGGCATGTGCCACCATGCCTGGCTAATTTTTTCTACATATTTTTAGTTGTCCAATTAATTTCTTTGTTTTTAGTAGAGACGGGGTCTCGCTCTTGCTCAGGCTGGTCTTGAACTCCTGAGCTCAAACAATCCGCCCACCTTGGCCTCCCAGAGAGCTAGGATTACAGGTGTGAGCCACCGCGCTCGGCCCCACCCAGCTAATTTTTAATTTTTTTGCGGAGACAGGGTCTTGCTATGCTGCCCAGGATTACAGGCATGAGTCACCATGCCCAGCCCATGACTACTTTTTAAGGCTTCCCAGTTGATTCCATTGTGAAGCCAAGGTCGAGAACACTGCCCTGTATATGGCTTCTAGAGAACCATCAATGGACTGTCTTCACATTTCCTTCTTAGAGTACTTTGGAACTCTTCTAATCTTCTCTCTTCAGTGTGCAACATCTCTAATTCCTTTTGGTGTTGTGCTGGGCTCTGAATTATGGTTAGGTAAACAAAAAATCCCATTTCCAGGGCATATGTATTTCAAGAGGCATGTACAAGAATGTCCATCACAGTATGACTCATAATATTCCCAAACTGGAAAATATCCCAAAGTCCACTAACAGAAAATGGATAAAGTGTGATATAGTCATAACAGAATACTATACAGCAGTGAAAACGACAGCTATACCAAATATTGATGAATTTCAATGTTAAGAAGCCAGGCATAGAAAGATACCTGATATTTGGTTTTGTTACATAAAGTTCAAATACAGACAAAATTAAACTACATTGTTAGAAGCAGAGAATGGTAGTTACTTATAGCATGAAAGGAAGCAGTGATTAGGAGGGTTATAAAAGGGGCTTGGAGTGACGGCCATGTTCAATTTCTCGATTGAATGGTGATTATTCAGATGTTTGCTTTGTGTTACTTTATTGAAATGTATACTTGTTTTAGGTACTTTCCTGTGTATGTTATACTTCACAATTTTTAAAAATGTTTAAAATGTTATGAGGCCCAAGATAAAGAATATGAAAGTTCATTATAATCATACAAATCTCCACATACAGGGTGATTGTTGCCATTATCCAACTCTTTCACTCCTCTCAGTTCTAGAACCAAACTGTTCAAATTCAATCCCAGCTCTGCCATTTACTAGCTGAGTAAACTTGGGCAAATCAGGCTCTGTTTCTTCAACTATAAATGAGAACAATGGTCTCTACTATTGAATGATTGTGAAGACTGAAGGAAGTTAAGAAATATAAAGTGCTTAGAATAGCCTGGAATACAGTAAGTACTCAATAAATAGTAGCTGCTGCTACTACTCTTCATCTCAGGCCTCAGGGTCTCTGTTGATGTATTAAGGGAGGAGCTGGAGTCTTTCCAAGAAGGGAAACTTCTGGAAGAAGAAAACTAATAAAATCATTTCCTTCTCTTAAAGCTCCTAGATGAGGTGAGATGCAGGCTTCTGCCATCAGTCAGATGTCCAGTCTGTCTCTCACCAAGGGCCCAAGGGAAAGCAGGGGAAGAACAATTAGACAGGAGCATTTCACCACTAAAAAAGGCTTTTATTACAAAACAAATGTTAATAAAATTAGACCTGGTGTTCAACCCTTCCTTTGGGTGGAGGCCCCTAGGATGGGGTGGGGTGGGGTGAGGGAGATGAGGGTGGCGGGCATGGAAAGAACAGAGCAGGCTGACCTCCCCTCATCAGTCTCAGCTGCTGCTCTCCTTTTATGAAGGGCTAGAAGAGCTCTTCCACAGCCCCTTGAGAGAAACCCCATTATTCCAGCCAGGGAGGACCACTACTGTCACCGGACCTCAGCAATGCCTCATTGCAGGATCCAGGAGGTCTCGGCTGGCTCTCAGCAGAGGCCACCCAGGGTCACTCAGCCTGAGCGATGGCGTAGGAGAGCAGCCACAGCAGCATGGGGCCCAGAATGAGGACAGCAAACCAGACAGCAAAGCTGGCAAGGATGAGCCTCCGGGCCCGGGCCCCCCAGTGCACTGCCTCCTCCGACCGGCCTGCCTTATGCCGCTCTTCCGCCTGTGGGGGCAGGTTCTTAGTTAGATTCTCTCCCTGCTTCTGCCCCAAAGTGCTCATTGTCCCACTTTACTCCCCTATCTTGTCACAGCTCAAAACCTCACACTCAAACCCTCTACTTCCCTCTCTAGTTTATGTCTCTTACCCCTCATCTGCAAAGTGAGGTCCCCGTCTCTGTCCTACTTTCAGTGTGGCCATGGGTAGCTTACAAGATCACATATGGGAAAGTACTTTCCAATTCTTTTATTCCCCATTCTTTCCTACACATTCCACATTGACTCAGTGAGCCTGGAGTATTTCACTCACGTCCAGTCGAACACCACCTCATTCTCATAGCCCAGTGGGCCTCATCTTTTTCATCATTAAGGAGCCTTTTTATGATTTTGCCCTAATTAAGCCCAGAAAAATACATGTAGGATTAAGAAAATTTCAACATGATGTTTAAACTAATCTGTGAAGAGATTGCTCCCATCACTGCTCAGCTGCCTCCAGTCTTGCCCCCTCCAATTCACCCTCCATGCAGGCCTTGAGTGGATCTTTCTAAAACTGTCAAAGTTTTGATCATGTCACTCCCCCCTACAAAAACCCTTCAATGTCTCCCCAGTACTTTCAAGACAAAGTCAAAACTCTTAAGCACAGAATTGGAGGCCCCTGGAAATCTGGGTCGTCTGGCTTCACCTCTCACTATTCTTCACTGGTCCAGCCATGCTGAATAGTACAGGCCTTGTACACACTACTCCCTTTACCTGGAATACCCTTTCACCTTTATTCACTCTTCCTTTAAGGTTACTTTACTGTCACCTCCCCTAGGATGCCTTTCCAGTCACCTGCTCCACTGTACATACATAATAATCACACATATATACCCTCCCAGGCTCCCAGAGTACCCTGCGCTTTCTCTATCATGGCACTGACAAACCACATTCTAGTAATCACCCATTTTCACTGCCATCTCTTTCATTAGACTATGCCTTCCATGGCAAGAACCATATCTTATCTTATTTCTGGCACTAGGACCAGAGCCAAGCAGCGATAGGTATTTATTTAGTAACTGTTTATCAGTGTGGACAGATCAGATATAGGAAACTATTGCCTTACACTCACTCCCCCCAATCCCCCTTCTATAGGAATTGCATTCCTCACCTTGATGGCAAACACAAGAGCCATGACTCCCAGGCAAGAGCAGCCACAGATAATGCTAGTAGCTGCCAAGTAGCGGAGGCGGAGCCAGCAGCAGCGGATGGGGGATGGGGAATGAACAGCTTCTGAGTTCCCCACCAAGGTCTCCACTGCCTTCTCCTCGTCCGCCATCACCTGTGGGCGACACAGTCAGGGTACTCGTAAGCCCAACAACTGAGCCCTTGGCCTAGCTTGCTCAGACTCCACCCCTCTGTCTTCCTGGCCTAGCCCAACTTTCAGGAATGCTGCCTTACTAGGGAACTCCTCTAGTGACTCATAGACCAGGAGAGGAAATGTGTGGCTAGAATCCTTTTTCCTGAGCTTAAGGTTCTGAGTCTTTGAAGGCAAGCCAGTGTGAACATAGCATTATCTGCATTATTTACTGTTTCGACAAGTGGGAAGAAGGAAAAGGACAGGTGCACACCCAGAAGCAGGAGAGACATAACAGAATCTCCAAAGCTATGAATCTGAGACAAAGTGATTTTAACTTATATTTCAAAAGGCCCTTAAATTCCCCAGAGGTTGCCCCATGGGTATTGAAGAGTCAGAGAACAGGGCCTAGGCCCTGCACCCCACTTCAACCAGAGTAGCCATTTCACACAAAAACACAGTTCTGGTGATGGAGGAAAGGAAGGAAAAAAGACCCTTTTTTTTACAGTTGAAACTGAACATCAGAAATACTTTACTTCCCCAAACTGGGGCTTCCTTTCTATGCTGTCTCCCTGCCGCCTCCTCTCTCCATTTTAACCCAGCCACACAACACAATCGGATTAGCACATTGAGTCCAAATGACCTCATTATTCACACAGAAACCTGAATGATGCCCTACTTAATTATTTCTCGTCTCCCTATTTCTCAGGTCCTCTAAGCTCTGACATCAAACCACCTTTACACCCTCATCTTCAACCATTCCCCTACAACCTAGACAAAATTGAACCACCTGTGGTTCCCTGAACACAAGTTAACGAAGGATAAAAAGGGGGAAGCAGGAAGGACAAGCAGACACCAAAGAATGATGTATGCCAAAAAGCTGCAGGTGAGTAGACATGAGGAAATAACTTAGATGGAGTAAACACAGACATAAAGTTAGCACGGGGAGAACACCACAAGGAGAAGGGCCAGGGAGTTGGTCAGAAAACGTAAACATGAACAAGGGCTCTTACCTGGCTATAGGTCTTGAGGGACTGTGAGTTTCGGCTCCTGCCTCAGGTTTGATTTAGCTTGGGTGGTGTGAGGGAGCTGACTCAGGGCTCCAAGCCAAGGCCAGGGGTGGGGTTGGGTGGCCAGCCACCTGAAGAACCCCAGTAGCTGGGAAAGGAGGTGTGGCTGGCTCAAACCAGTCTGGCTAGATGGAGAGCAGGGGAGGGCCAAGGGATGGAGCAACTGGAGGTAGGATGCCTGCCCTCTGGAAAGAGTGAAAGGAAGCACGTGAGCAAGAGGGATAAAAGGGAAAAGTCTGAGGCATCTGAGAGCTTGTGAGGGAAAGTCCAGGAACCAAAAGAATAGAAGGGAGGGAGAGGAAATGTCTGAGTGACTTAAAACTGAATCTAGGGAAAGACACTCTACTAGGAGATCAGATTTGCCAATCTTCCCCCTTCTTGGGTAGAGATTTCTGCCTTAAAGGTATATAATCTCAGGTTACAGATCAGGTACTAGGTTCTTTGCAAGACTGAGAGGAGGAAAATGATGCCCAAGTTCCCACCCAACCCTCCACCAGACCAGAAAATCAGAAGCCTCCTTACACGGATGCTCGTACAGAAACTAAGTTTATTATTTTTTCTTCTTAAAAAAAAAAAAAAAAAAAAAAAAAAAGAAAAAAAAAACCTCATTGTAGAGAAGCCCCTCCCCCTTCCCCTAAGGGTGGTGGGCTGTGAAAGATAGCTGGGGAATCAAGTACAAGGGGGTGGGGACAGAGACTATCTTGCCACCCTTAACACTGCCCAGCCATGTGGGGTGGAAAGGAAGGGGGATTGTGATGAGCCCCATTTCCATGACAACCAGTTGCCTACCCCCTACTTTGGTGGAAAGAAGGGTGAAGGCCCCTATGTCTCCCTGGAGGCTTTCCCCCTCAAAAGACTTCAAGTAGTGGTTAACAGAGTCAGGCCTGGTCATGGAGGGAGAGCGGCCATGGTGGAAAGCCTAGGTGGAGGGGCAGCCCACTCACGTCTTAGCCTTGCGGCCTCTGTGACTAATGGTAGGGCCAGCCAGGTGGGGAAGGGCACTGCTGCGCAGGATGCGCTGGTCCCCTTGGTTGGTGGTCCCAACAAGCCTGCGGGGCCCAGGCCGTCGCCGTGGGGTCCCATCCCCTTCCTCTTCCTCACCTGAGGCTTCAGCCTCAGACTCTTCTACTGAACCCTCAGGCCCCAGGGGACTTGGGGGCTGCAGGCGGCCCCGCTTTACCAGCCCAGGACACCCACCAATTGGGGTCCCTGCCCGTTTGCGAGGCACCTTCTCAGTCTCTAGTGGGGGGACTAGAGACCCTGGACGCAGCCTGGTTGAGCGCAGTTTTGGGGCCAATGAGGCCACAGGAGGTGTCAATTCCATCCCGCCTGGCCCGCTATCTGCTAAATCCAGGTCATCCTGAATAACAGCCACCACCATGGACCCTTCACTCTTTCGTCCTCGCATTCCCTCTGCTTCAAGCCGAAGGCGGGCCAGGCGGGTGAGGGGGCGGCTTCCATCTTCATCAGAGGAACTACCCTCACTCTCCCCCTGGCCCTGGGGTTGCCGCCGCCTCCCCAGTCCACAGCTCTCGAGGACAGAAGTGCTGTCACGGTCCAAAACAGGGAGCTGGCTGGGCCGAGGCGATGGTGGATTCTTGGGAGGTCGGCCCCTCTTCCGCTTGGGTGGGGACGTTGAAATCGTGACAGTGGTGACAGTGTTGGTAACAGTAGCTGTGGGACAGGCCAGCAGTGGTGGGAGTGGTGGCAGGGGTGGTGGTAATGGGAGTGGCTGTGTCCGGCTCTCTAAGTTGCCATCCCCTGGAGAGGAAATGGTCCCAGGGATGGGCAAATCTCGTGCCTTAGGGGGCCGCCCTCGCCTTCTTTTCTCCACAGGTGACAGGATGATGGGCTCGGGTCTGTGAACTAGCTGGGGTCCAAGAGCCTGGGGCCCAGGAATAAGCTGGGGTCCCAGAACAGGCTCGGCAACAATTAGGGTTTCAGCCCCAGGAACTTGGTCAGCCCCATTGGTTTTTCCCTTAGAGGTGGATGAGGCTGCCTCATCCACACCTCTCCCAGTATCTGCTGGAGACCTGTTCTTCTTTGGAGGCCTCCCCCTCCGACGTTTCACAGCAGGTGGGGTGATGGCAAGCAGGGGCCCTTCTCCATTCTCTGAGCTGCCCCCACCAGTCACCCCCAGCTCAATGTGACGACGAGCTATGAAGGGCTGCTGAGTTGGAGTGGGCAGTGAGGATGGAGGAGCAGCTTCACAGAGTCCACCAAAGGGAGGTGAAGATTCTGGCCCTGACATGCTGCGGGTAGATGGGCTTCCCGGGCTGGCACTAGTCTCAGAGACCCCAGGCACTAGGGTGCTGGTGGTTCCCCGCTGTTGTCGCCGTCGCCTCACCAGTTCCTTTTCCTCTACCACAGTTACTAGCCGTCCTGGCAGCTTGCGAAGCACTTTGGGGCCTGGAGGTTGCCCTGGCCGACCAGCCCCCTGACCCCTAATTTCTACATCAGCACTGGTGCGACGCCGAGGAGGTCGGGCAGGTGAAGGACCCTCAGGTGAGGAAGTGGCCGAAGATGAGGTTGATGGGGCTGCAACCTCAGCTGTAACAAGTTCCTGTGGCTTTTCTGGGCTGGAGGTTGGGGTCTGGGCCTCCACCAGCTCTTCTGAGTTCCTGTCAGCTTCCAATGCCTCCTGAAGTGGCTCATCATATGCTGCTGAGGGTGGGAGCTCCAGTCCATTGCTCTCACTCAGACACGTGGGCAACTCCTCACCTTCAGGCAACACTGTGAGGATGGTCCCCTCAGCAGAATCTGGGATCTCCTGCTCTTGACCATTAGGGACGTTGCCAGCCTCCAGGGTTGGGCTAGGTGCAGAAGGGGCAAGTGAAAGGTTCTTCTCTGATACGGGTAGGATCTCAACAGCAACTGGCAACAGATCCTTAGGCGGCACAAGAGTAAGCGAGGAGGTCTCAGGACTGGCCATGCCAGCCAGCTCCGGAGACTCTGTAGATGACAACGCCTGTCCACACAGTTCTGCCTCAGGCCCCAAGCCTAAGGGCAGGTTGGTGACTGGAGGAGAGACGGGGACAGAAGGTGGACCAAGCAAGAGAGGAGATGAAGGAGTTGAGAGAGAGGTTTGGGCTGGTGGTGGGGTATGAGCTGGCGGAGGGGTACAGGCAGGAGGAGGAGTACAGGCAGGAGAACAAGAGGGAGGAATCTGCGAAGGAGGAGGTGGAGGAGAAGGCAAGATATGGACAGGAAGAATGGTTATTGGATTTGGGGCTGAAATGGGTATCGGGACACAGACTGGAACAGGGACAGGAGCTGAAGCTGGAGTGGGTCGAGGCCTAGGTGCTGGCCTGGGAACGCGCTCCCTGGCAGGGCTGCAGCGGGGGAGCGTGGTGGTGTTGCGGGTATGATGGGCTGATGTGACAGGAGTGTGGTTTGCCCCTTGAGTTTCAGCCCGGGCTCCACGAAGACGCTCACTAACACGAGTTCCTGGCCTCTCAGGGGCCTTGGCCTTCTTACTTCGTCGGTGGCTGCCTCCAACAGTCCCACAGGAAATCTCGTCCCCAGCCCCTGGCCCCTCCTCCTCCTCTTGTGGTAGGCGGAACACCTCCTCCTTGGCTTGGTCCAGGTCTTTGCGGGCAGCTTCCACTTGCTCCTACCAATAAGAGAGCCCAAAGGTGGTCAGGAAGAGGCAAGCAGGGCAGGGAGTGAGTAGAAATTTGCAGCTTTCCACTGCCAGCTCCACCCTCCCCAAAATACTCACTTCTGCCTGCTTGAGCTCCTCTCGGCTCACCTCCTCCAGTGAGGCTTCCAGGAATTTCATGGCATAGCGCTCAATGGGGGTCAGCTGTAGGGAGAAGCAGTGGTGATGAACATAGATTCCTGGAGTCCAGGGCCCCATCACCCTTGTTTATCACCAGGGAAGATAGAAGGAGCCATGAGCCCAGGGGAAGGAGATAAGGAGGGTGAGGTCAAGAACTAGTGGGTCCAATACTGACCTGTTCTACAAGAGCAGCAATTTCCTGCTCAGCCCGGGACATCTCCTCATCTTCAGCCCCAGGTCGACCGACTTCCTCTCCCTCTCCAGCAGGAAACCCATCATTCTCATTAAATTCTGCAAGCTCAGCCACCTGTTCGGCCTTGGCCTGGGTGGCTGCACGGATATCCTCTTCATCCTCTGCACGACACAATGCCTGCGAGGGTACATAAATGAGGAAAACATAATGTGAGACTTAAGGAAAGAACATTTTTTTTTTTTTTTTTTTAGAGACGCAGTGCAGTGCAGTGGCAACATCACTGCAGCCTCCAACTCCTGGGCTCAAGTGATCCTCCTGCCTTGACCTCCCAAAGTGCTAGCATTACAGACATGAGCCACCATGCCTGACCTTATATTCTGTGATTTGATTCTGGCATAAATGTGAGATGAAGTTAACACCAAACCAGGTTTGCAACAGAACTCAACCTTCTGAGCCCTCAGAGTTACCAAAGCAACTCAGTGGCTCACATAGGATGTAATGGATTTCAGGAGGACTGCCACTAGGGACAAAATGACTGCTTTAGAGATCCCTAGCTCTACTTCCTTTCCTTTAGAGTCAGCCTTAGATCTCTCTTAAGGTGGGGGAAAAAATACAGTCACAAAGATTTGAATATCTAAAAATCTATAATTCTTTTTTGCACTGAGATGCCTCAGGACAACATACCAACCACATCTGATCTTTCCTTGAGAAATGAATAGCCAGAGAGCTCACAACAAAGCCACTGAGGGAAGGAGACTAGAGCACTCAACAGTGAGAAGACACTCAGTAGGGAAAAACATCTCCATGATGTGCTGCACCTGTAGTTCCTAAATACCTGTCTACATCTGGAGCTTTGAAGGAATACAAAAGCTCAGATCTAAAACACAAAAATTATGATTAAGGAGATTTTTGAGAAGGAGCCCAGGATTCAGCGATTTAAAAACCATTCCAAGTTATTCTATTATGCACCAATGCACCAATGTTTAGAATAGTGTTTTACATCATTTACAAAGTATTTCTTATGTCGATTTTACCATTTAATCCTGAGTTACTTCCTTCTCATTAGTATTTCAGAGAAGCGGAAAGTTAGCCTCAGAAAAGTAATAAATAAGTTTGTAACTTGGCTTAACAAACACTTTTTTTTTTTTTTAAACAGGGTACTGCTCTGGAGTGCAGTGGCATGATCAGAGATCACTGCAGCCTCAAATCCCTGGGCTCAAGTGATCCTCCTGCCTTGGCCTCCTGAGTACCTAGAAGTACAGGCATATACCACTAGAC